AGTATTCTTTCGTAGTGTTTTCACTCGTAATACCACTAGAGGTTAAATTATTCCCGGAAATTTTCTCGAGCTCATGGATATTTGGAAATATTCATGAATGATGAAAAATTCTTGGAAAGTAATTTGACCTAGTGTGGTATTCTGTAAGAGAATTTCAGACCAGATTGTGTTTGAAAATAGAATAATTTCAGAATTCATATGTTCATTCGATTTGCATACAGGTTCATGAATAAATTCAGTTTGGGTCGCAGTTTCGGCACCAATAATAGATTCCTGATTTGTACCTATTATATTCGCATGAGAAAAAAAATGATAATACTAGTTAAGAATGTGACATATAATCTTTCATTTCATATTGATTCCGGGATACTACGAGTGATGGGTCATAATTTCGTAAATTAATTTTTCATAGGTATAGGTACATACTAGTAGTAGTAGAGAAAGGGGAGGCGGTCGCCTAGCAAGTAGGCCCCAGTGAGCATTTCTTGCAGACCCCTGCTGCACACGTTGTGTGCACATAATATCTACTGTTCCTTCTCCTGATTCTCCTTTTTGGACCTCCGTGGAAGGTCAGTATGTCCGTCCACCTTAGTAATTTGATCTTCCTGTTGAAGCGTATCAGTACCATTGTTCCTTCCTTAGCAGTCCCCGCGAGATTAATCCGTTGAGTTGAGGCTTCGCACCCCTTCGTGTTCACCTTGGAGACCTGCAGAACATCTCTTTTCAAAGACTCGTTTATCCAACTAACAGCGAGGCTCTGTAATAAATTGCCAAGGGAGGTGTTCCCCGAGGCATATAACCTCCAGAAATTTGAGAAGAACACAAATTCCTGCATTACAGAATATCCCTACTTGTAGGAACCAGAACTTAAAAAAAAACTCACATATAACGAAACCTCCTTGTTGATGTACAAAAATGATGTCACTGATTAGTTTTTTCTTCTTGTTCAGTGTCTGCACCTCCTGAATAGTCATCCATGTAATGCTGTTCTATAATAGCTTTAGATGCTTCAGGGTATTCATTCTCAAAATGTCTTGCGTTTCTGTTCTCCGCCTCTTGTGCTAAAGCAAGGTCCACAAGTCGACCCAAAAAAGACAACCATTATCTCCTATATATCGGGTTTTCTACGTCTGTCCGTTCCCCGCCATAAAATTCGTTGTGCGCAACAATCTTCTTTTCTTACCATGACTTGTAAGAACATTACTGCAATATTTGATGTGAAAGCATACTATTTTATTCGGAAGTTCAACAGAATTGTGTACAGAGAGTTATTGAGATCAGGGCCAGAAAGAAGACAGTCATTCAAACTCACTCTATTGGACTTAGGCATCGAACACGATTCTCAAATTGTTCGGTTCATTCGTGTTCTGGATTCCGATTTGTCAAAGATACCAGATTTTGTCCGATCTAATATTTGTATCATCTTCAGGCAATTTTTTGATAAATCCTTTGCTTCCCAAATCCAGAATTTACTCGCAATACATTTGCCCGAATCCAATATTCCTATCCATTTTTCGTTCAGTACATTCCAATCTTCTAAGAGCATTTGTTCGATTTCTGGCAAGACTATGTTTTCATTTTCCCATTGCAATCCTGTTTCATATCTTTGTCCAATTCGCATCAGTATTCCAACTGAAATCTTCTGTGCTTTCTTCTCATCTGGAGATAATAATTCATCTGCTGATATGTGAACATGATCCAATTTCCATTGCTCTTTCACCATATCATGTAACAAATCTTCTCAGATTCCCATGTAAAATCCATCCCAGCAGCGTCTTGCTCATCACAGGTCCTTTCCAAAAACCATTTACCAACTATCTGGTAAACAATAGATGTCAGTTATCTTGTCTAATAATGATTCTTGGTTGAGCATTCTGCATAGAAGAAATTCTACTTTAGACGCTTTCTGACTTCTGCTGTTGCCGCTAGATGGCGTGACCTGAGATGTTAGCAAATTTTTGAGTTTTTTCTGAAAAAACAAATGTAATGGTATATTGATTTTTATATGTTTGAAAAGAGGATACATTTCTCTATAATTTAATTAGAATAATTTATCATCTACCTTTCTTTGAACCGTTGATATTGACCAAAATATAATTTTATTACATTAATAAATGGCACGTCACTGTTTTTATCGAAAAAAAAATCATTTTTTTGATCTTTCATTAGTTGCTAACAAAAAGTACCTTCTGACTTTTTTCCGTTAGACAAATGGTTTTGGATTGAAAAAATAAAAATGATTTACATGGGGCGCCCATATCTCGAAACACTAATTTACAGTATGTAAACCTATTTTATTCTTCAAATCTGAAACACATTGACAAAGGAGGTGTTCTCCAAGGCATATAACCTCTAGAAATTCAAGAATAACACCAATTCCTACCTTATTTCCCTTTGTTCTCACGATGTTCTCTGAACATTACAGGATATCCCTTTTCGTGAGAACCAGAACATGAAAAAAAAATCCTTATTATATTCTAGTTCGAAGAACCATTCATTGAATTTACCTGTGATATACCTCATTATATCCTAGCTCGAAAAACCATTTATTCAAGTCACCTGTGATATTCCTTGTTATATCCTAGCTCGATGAACGAAATAATTAAATTATTTTTTTCATCTGACACAATCAATCCATCAATATATTTTGGTGTTCTTTGATTTTTTACCTCAACATACTGGGTGACAAATTATCAAGTAGATACACAATCAATAACATAAGATAAGATAAGATAAGATATTTATTTCCATAAAAAACAAGTTTTGTAGGAAAGTGCACAGTAGTTGTCCTAAAATGATAGTTGTGCTAGAATGATCATTATATCTGAACATTTTACAAAAAAATATATGAAAATACAAAAAAAACAAGTTCTTAGTGTACCTGAAACAACACAAATCCATTTCGTAGCAATTGAAATTGGTTGGTGTATACCATCACACAGATATGCTGAGATTATATAACTTAACGCTCATACTACACATTTACATAAAAATAAATAAAAAGTTGAGAGTACCTATATCTGAAACAATGGAACTATACAAGTGCTTTTCATAACGCTTTCGGTATACACATATCACATATTATTATCATTGAGAAAATCAAGTACTGAGTAGTATGCTTTATATATTAGAAGATTTTTCACTGAACTTTTGAATTTATTGAATGGCATAAACTTATAATCGGTAGGCAGTTTATTGATTAGTTCCGCACTACTGTAATAAACGCTGTTCTCAAAAAACGATGTGTTATGATGAGGAAGTAAGATCATTTTGTATCATTGTCGAGTGGAGGAAGAACTAAAATTGAACAGATTTCGATTTTTGTGACAAAAACATAAAGCTTCAAGAATGTAGAGTGAAGGTAATGTTAAAATTCTCATTTGAATGAAATATTGACGACACGAAGTACTTCGAGAAAGTCCTAATATTATTCTAATTGCTCTTTTTTTGTAGCACAAACACTGATTTCCACATCATTGATTTGGCACAGAAAAGAATTCCATAGGACATATGAGAGTGAAAATTCGCAAAATAAACCATTTTTAGGGTTTCGAATGAATAGACCATTCGCTTTCAAAGTTCTCAAAGCAAAACAACTGCTGCTTAATTTCTTATTGAGGTGTAGAATATGATGTTTCCAGTTCAATTGTGAATCCAATAAGAAACCAAGACATTTACTTTCATCTACAAAGGCTACATTGAAGGCAACATTAACTACATCTAATAAAGGCCTCTGGCAGAAATTTACACAGTGCGTTTTGGAAAAGTTTACACTTATGTTGTTTATTTCGCACCAATCATTTATTTTTATCAATGTCGAGTTCAGATTCAGGGTGGATTCTTGCGGATTTAAACCATTGATTAGGAATAATCTATCATCGGCAAACATCGTTGTGGAGGCCTGAGGAATATTGCTTGGCAGATCGTTGATATACAGAATGAATAAAAGTGGGCCTGAGATGGATCCTTGTGGTACACCTGTGTTTATATCACCCCAATCAGAATAAACTTTCTTATTGTCTCTAGAGATGACCACCCTTTGTTGTCTATGGAAAAGATAATAAGTATACATATAACAATTGATTGTATGTAATTCCTGATATTTTCATATAATATTCACCATCAATATTTTATTGTGATATTCAGAAGAGGCACAAAGGCCCATGGCCGCATCGTGTCTGTGACATTGAGCATCGCTCTGAATAACAGCACAAAGCAACAATGTAATACAACAATCATTTTCATGTTATGTTCTCATGTTTGGTAGGACTTTTTCACTCACTATAATTAGTGGTGCCCGCGAGAGTCTCGTTTTCGGGAGTCTCGCATGGTCTCGTCTCGTTTTCGAGACAATACTCGAGACGAGACTCGGAAAAGACGAGACGAGACTTCCATTGGTCTCGTCTCGAGCCTCGTGCAAGACTTCTCGTGTCTCGTGCGAGAGTCTCGCGGGTAAATATTTCTGCGTGCCGACTGCAGACTTGAGAATTTCATTCAAAATACAACATATCTAGAAAGAATTCATACTATTTAGCACAGAAAACACAATCCATGATTGTTGTAAAATGACGTAATGCGTGAAACGAAAACGGACTATTCTCTCTTTTACGGCGGAATAATGTTGGAAGTTTTTGTCTTGTTTATTTGTTTAGAATATATACGTGTTACTTTACATTTTATTTTTATAACTTTCGAATATATAATGCTATGTTTTTTATCTTGTTTAGATGTATGATGCAAGTATATGTACCTATCAGGTACTTACTTTTTAATAAAATATGTTATTTTTGTTGTCATTTTCTCTTTCTACTTCTTCAATATACCTAAGGAGTAGGTGAAGGTAAATATCCCGTACTAGACTGGAACAAAATCATGCATGACGAAATTGCGATACATTTGCGAGACTCTCGTACGAGACGCGAGACAAGACTTTATGAAAGTCTCGTCTCGTCGGTCTCGTGTGAATCCCTAACTATAATTCAATGCAGGTTGTTACTGACCTTTCGTTTGGATCGAATGGCATCAATTTGCCTCTGCGTTTTTTCTCCGATAGACCTGGATCCCCAGAGGACCGTGCCCATGATTGTGTAGCAGATAGACATCAGGAGAATGGGAACCACGTACGTAATCACCAAAAATATCATCTGGTACCTGCAATGATATTCATGTTACAGGGTGGCCAACTTTATAGTAGAAGAACTCGACGATTGATAAAAGATACTTCTCGAAGAATGAAAGTTGAATTCATCGTGCGAAGCTATGTTTTCGAGATATACCTAGATCGTTGAAATTGAAAATAAACACACCTATTTTCCTTCTTCTATGAATTATCATATAATGACACAATTCAGTTTGTTATGTGATGTGACTGGAATTGTGTCGACACTATGAAATAATATCTATTGTGTTTATCTATCAGTAACGCACTAATCATTGTTTTGAATGAACCATTCGACACATACAGCAAAGTTTGTCCTCGAAGTTTGTTCTTTGTTTCCACTTGGAAACTGGGCATTCTATGTAGTTTCAACAAGAGGGTATTTTTCCGATAACATTCGATATGAAAAATGAAGATGTACCGGGTGTACCGCTAAGAAAGGACGCCGGCTGTATCTCGGAAACTATTTGCCGCACAGGTTTCGGAAAAAAATATTTATGATAAAAGTGGCCAAGAAGAATCTCTGGAAATTATTTTCAAGTTTCCAGGTCATCCGCTAGAGGGCATAATTGCATTGGCCAACTTAAAAATCGGGTTTTTATGAAAATTTGATATATCAAGACATATCAGAAACACTTTTTCCATGTTTTCGGGTTGATTTCCAATCATTTCGATAAAAGAAATTGCGCTAGCTCTTCAAATTAAATGGGGAGGAAAGGATGAATAGTACTCTGGAAAAACTCTTATTACTACAGTTTGGTGTAACGGAATTGAGTGATCTTGGTCTCATTATGAAGGGTTTTTTCAGATCTTCCTGATAAATCACGAATCGAGTCGATTTATATCCCGTGGTGGCCGCTAGATGGCATCGTTTGAAAAATCAGCCGATTCGCCATTTTTTTTCGAGAATTTCAGATGGAACCATATAGTTTTGCTGCTACGATATGAAAGTTGAGTAAACAAGAAGAAAAATGGTGAAAACCTCGAGTTGATACCTCTTGAAAAACCGGAGAAATACTCGGAATAATATTAAAATTCAAACTGTTAGCATGTCAAATGCCTCCTCATTCGTTATCGGCGTTTTGACAAATAAGCAATCCACAATAAACAGTGAAAACTTCCAATAGAACTTCAATTATATTTTGACGTTTCTCTCATTCAAATTATAGCTATGTCATTACTAAGAGTTCACTTCACTATTGTGAGATATAACAGCAGTTTGTGAAACCAAAATAAATGAATTATTGAAATCATAATTTTATTGATACAGGATATTTCTGATTACGATTATAAATTAGATTCCTGTGGTTTCTGTATTATTTCGAGTATTTCACCGGTTCCTCAAGAGGTATCGATTCGCGGTTTTCATCATTTTTCTTCTCGTTTGCTCTACTTTCATATTAGAGTAGAATGAATATATGGTTGCATATGAAATTTTCGAAAAAAATGGAAAATTGTCTGATTTTTCAAACGATGCCATCTAGCGGCCACCACAGGATTTAAATCGACTTGACTCGTGATTTTTTTTTATCGCTTGAAGCGCACGAGAGGGAATCCCTATAATGTTCAAAGAACATCGTGCGTTCCTAGAAAGGATAGAGACAGGAGGTAGGTATTGGAATTTTTTTTGAACTTTTGGAGATTATATGTTGTTGGGAATACTTCCACAGGCAATGAATTCCAGAGCCTAGCCGTTCTATGGATGAAGGAGTCTTGATAAAGTGCTGTTCGACATCTTTCGAGGTGGACAATGAAAGGATGTGCTGACTGGGCTTGTCTAGTTCGTCTGATTGGTATTGCTAGTGAAGGGATGATAGCAGAGATATCCGAAGAACATTTCCCGTGGAAGTATCGATAGAAAAGTGAAAGGTCGCTGACCTTTCTACGGTGTTCTAATGAGAGTTTTTTCAAAGTACTATTCATCCTTCCCTCCCTTTTTCATTTAGAGAGCTAGCGCAATTTTTCTTTATCGAAATGATTGGAAATCAACTCGAGGACATGGAAAAAATGTTCTTGATATGTCTTGATTTATCAAATTTACATTAAAACCCATCGAGGGACTGTCCTGGAAACTTGAAAATAATTCCCAGAGATCTTTCTTGGCCACTTTCATCATAAATATTTTTTTCCGGAACCTCTGCGGCAAATAGTTTCCGAGATACAGCCGGCGTCCTTTCTTAGTGGTACACCCGGTACATTTACGTCTTCAAGTCGTACATCACTGTAAGTTTCGAAAACGTACATTTTAGCTCTGAGTATGGTCTTCATATATTTTGTTCACGGACACAATGAATACTTTTTCGAATCGAACATCCACGATGCATTCACCGGTTGCAAATTCTGACCGTCATCTGATAATAGTTATTGACGTGACAAGTGGAATATAGAGATTATTAACGCACGCATTTGAGAATTGCACGACGAAGCCGTAGGATAAGTCGTGTGACCACATAAGTTCGTTAATAATGTAGTATCCCACGCGTTGCGTATAAAATTTTATATACAACTGTCAACGTTTTTGTAACTATCTTCGAATGTACCCCATTGATATTCCATTTCGACGTACCTACCCATGAGAGTTTTCTTATATTTGAAAACACAAGTTGCCTATGATCATTTCTGTAACCGCAGCAACGGTAGGTATATAAACATAGCCGGTTTGACCGGAAGTGACTCTAACTTTTTCATTGCAAATAGCACCCTGTATATTTTCTGCAATTTTTATCTCCTACTCAGAATTACCATTCCAATGATGTATCACACTTCGTATCTTTGATTTGATGAAGAAAACGACAATTGAAAGAACCCCGCACATTTAGTACGTAAAATGGCTTTCGGCTAAATTTTCTGAAAATTTGATATGTTTAAGACATTATCGTCCTTATCACACAGTCCAATTTACAGATCGATCCTATGACCAGTTTTCGAGCTACAGGGTGTCAAACATTAGATTTTGGCTGTTTAGAATATTTTGCATCAATTTGAATTATGTGCTCTAAGTCGTGATTATTCTTCAGTAGGAATGAACTCTTCACGTCTAATATCTACCTCATGAATCCCTCTATTCGGTTAGAGGATAATATCACATACAGAGTATTGCATTCCATCATGACAAGGTAATATTCTTGGGAAAAGACAAATATTGAAAACATCAGAATTTTGATTTTTACTCAATCACTGAAAACTTGAAAAAAAACGGCTAGAATCGGCCAATTATGTGACACAGTATGGGTCTTGATCATAAACATGAGGATTCATATGATTACCTCTGATACCATGTCCGGTTGGCCATATATAGGGTGATGACAATTTGAAAGCTTATAGAATTGATGTAACTCAGGTACAAAATGAGATACATTTCTATAATATATGAAGTGGAAAATGAAATGTCTCATGAAATAACCCACCACCACCAAGCCCCTGATGAGTCACAACCACCCCAACGCATATCATCTCAATAGTAGCCCCTACTTATTGTGAAACCTCATTGAATAGCTTGGTGAAAATACATTCCAGTGGTATTATTATTGATATCTCGAACTGGGTGAACTAACAAAAAATATTTATTACCTATATCATTCTGCTGGGGTGACGTATTAATTTTATAACTTTTGAAAAATAAATCGTTAATATCGACCACCATTGAACGAATTGCAGTAGGCTACGATCGAGGCTACGATATTTTTGTAATCTTGATTTTGAGTCCAATAATAATTTCACATTATTCGAATCGTAGTAGATCATGTAATTCTCAAATTTTCATCTTTCGAAATGACTGAGATAATCTATTGAAACGGGTATACTGCGACACCCGGTATACCTTAGGGCAAGAGCCACAGTTGAGTTTGTATTAATACCCCTGATTTCTCAAATCTGGAAGTTTTGTCTTTATTAATTCTGATGAACCTTCCCAACGTGTTATTTAAGACTTTTAAGTCTTGTTTATGTAGAAGCGGAGCTGATTTTTCAGTTAATGATCCGAAATAGAAAAAGGAAGAGTTCTATAATTTTGATTATTATTTTTGATGGTGGGATACTCTTGATTATTTCAGCACTCGTTTTTGGCCCGTACTGCAATTTTGAGTACTTATTGCGTTTTCGGTGAAATAATCGTCTTGTTCCGGTTATTTTCTCATCAGTTTGCTTCACAATGATGAAGTAATATACCAACGTTTCACTTCCCACAAAAATGTATTTTGACCTTTACAAGATAAAACACATTTGAATTCATAAACATTCCATTTTTATGTCTCCAGAAGCTTCGGAGTAATCCCCAAATGATCAGAATGCATTAATAATAATGTTTTCAGAGTTTGAAGCACGTTCTGAAACTTCCATCTTGCATCATTATGATTATTATGGAACATCTCGAGGTCTCATGTACTCCATTTCCGACATTTTTCATTTTCTGTACTGCGACAGCTTACGAATAATAGCGAATGCTTCAATAAACTTGAATCTTTCGACTGAACAAATGGGTCTTCATTGAATTCCATTATGTCAGTATATTATACATTTAGATACGTTTATCAATATTGGTTCTATGAGTATATCTCATCAATTGCTGCTGGAGAGATCGCGAAGCTTTTTAATAATGGTAGGTATAAATAAATGCAAAAAGCTCAAAGTACAACAACAACAATGGTAGATTTCGGGAGAAAAACAACTACTTTCCTGGCTAATGCCACGCAGAACATTGAATTACATTCTTCCGAAATCTATGCATCGACTCGTATGAACGAATACTGATACAAGTGATTCTTTCCTGAATGCCTATCGATTTCAATTCAGCCAGGCCACGCTAGACACCCACAGACCGGTTTCGTGCTATTTGACTCTCATCAGTGCAGGGTAGTCTCCAGCCAGCAGTCCTAAGACCGCAGACTCAGCGTAGCCTAGCCAAAACAAAAACAAGTCGGTATTATATTATATATTCCCCCAGAGGCGTCTTTTATCGACAATATGAAAGCAACGCCATCTGAGTAGAACATGAG